GTAGCTGGCCCTCAAGACAGCAAGCTTGTGCTCAGAGGTGGCTACCTTGGTTGATCTCCTTGTGAGAATAAGTTGCCTGGTTGTCTCCGGCTTCAGTACATTCACAGCCGCCAGTCACAGGGAAGTCAGCACTCCTGACCTGCATACATGTAACATAGCACTGAAGACAAGGACACCAAGCCAGGCAACAGGCATTTTCATGGGGAGAGGTCGCCAGTGGCAGCCTGCATGCCTCGGCCCAAGTCGACTTTAAATTGTAAAAATACTGATCTTTTTCATTTGTGCTTTAGAATGAAACTGCAGCTTAACAAATGACTTGGTATTGCCAACCATCCTCATCCATGGAGGACTCCGCCTTCAGATAACCATTCATCTACAGAAGACCAGGGCAGGAGACCTGATTTTATTCTTCTGCAGTTAAGTAACATTTAGAGGTCTTGTCCCTCCCCCTATGACTAAAGAATGGAAAAGCAGCAGACTGATGAGTCATCTCTTTGCTCTCTCCTCCTATCAGTGTGTTCTCTGTTAGGGCAACTGACTGATGCCTTGTGCTGCTTCTCCCACTATCAGTTTTGAGCTCAGCTGTGCGGGAGATGGCAAGAGACTTACTGCAGGTCAATTATGGTAAAAAAAAAAAAAAAAAAAAAAAAGGGTAAAAGCAGAAATACATTTAATGATGTAATAATGAATAAAGAGCTGCATTACATTCTTTGTATATTACATCCGGGTGGAGTTCAGCTTTGTTAGATATCTAACGTCTGTACACACTTTTAAAAGCATGTACGTGCATTTACGTTTTATCGCAGCGTGTCTTCTCAGTGGCTTAGATTTGTGGTCTCCAAACGGCGTCCCACAGGCTATATGCTGCTCATTGATAGGCTTTATCCAGCATTTGAGGCACTTTTCTTCCCATTGATATCAACGATGGGGCAGAACTCTTCCCACTGACACCAATGATGGGGCACTATTCCTCCCACTGACACCAATGATGGGGCAGAACTATTCCCACTGACACCAATGATGGGGCACTATTCCTCCTACTGACACCAATGATGGGGCACTATTCCTCCCACTGACACCAATGATGGGGCACTATTCCTCCCACTGACACCAATGATGGGGCACTATTCCTCCCACTGATACCAATGATGGGGCACTATTCCTCCCACTGACACCAATGATGGGGCACTATTCCTCCCACTGATACCAATGATGGGGCACTATTCCTCCCCCCTGACACCAACGATGGGGCACTATTCCTTCCACTGTCACCAATGATGGGGCCTATTCCCCCCTGACACCAATGATGGGGCACTATTGATGGGGCCTTCCCACTGTCACCAATGATGGGGCCCTATTCCTCCCACTGACGCACATAATAGGCCCTATTCCTCCCCCTGACACCAACGATGGGGCACTATCGCCAATTTATTATAAGCAGCTTAAAAATGCATAGAAAGTATAATTCATGATACACACAGATATATAACTATACAAGAACTGTAGACGCGTGTACCTACTAGGGAGGGCACGTATTATCCTAAATATAATATATACTGTTATCTGAAGGCAGAGACCCCCCCCCCGATTTAATTTCTTTTACCAAATGCTCATCTTAGAGGAACAATGTAGTAGCAGGAAAAAAAAAAAAAAAAAAATACCAGGAGTGATCACCAACTGTGTCCATTCATTAGCATTGATTAGTGATCACCAACTGTGTCCATTCATTAGCATTGATTAGTGATCACCAACTGTGTCCATTCATTAGCATTGATTAGTGATCACCAATTAGTGTGTAATCTTTTGGGAAGGAGGGAAGTGTATAACAAGCTGCTGCCAGGTTGTGTCACCCCAGCTTAGTGTGCATCGGCACAATAAAGTGTTACCACCCCCCCCCCCCCCCCCCTGGATTTGAGGGGCTCGGTATGTTTGTGCTCAGCCTTTCTTTTACTATCGGATATCTCGGTATACCGGCCACTCACCTCCCAAACCTAAGCAGCACCGGCACAAGGAAGCCACCAGCAGCTGCCTCCATGTTTGGAGATCGCCCGCTCATCCGCCAAGGCGCACTCCTCGGCCTGTAGTGTATCATAGTTGTGACACCAAGAAAATGGGATGCTTTGTTCATTATTCCATACATACATTCTCCCATCAGATGCTTGCCGAGTTCTGTGAAGATTTGTTCCGATTGACCAAGCAAGGCCCTGCTGCAAAAATGACCTTCCATGACAGCTTGAGGTCCGCAGGTCCCGCTACAGACAGTGGCTTGTTCCCGGCAGGCAAGAATATATATAAAGTCTTCACAGAGATATTTGGAATCTTTGCTAGGCTGGTTGACATTCAATGGCCATGCTGACAGCCGGTCTTTACAGAGGTTCTCCAAGCAGATTTTTCATTCAGCCATTGTCATGGGGCAGCCAGAGACTTAAAGTGGAACTCCAGTCAAAACATTTTTTTTTTGACTGGAAACAGTTAGAAGCCCCACATCAAGGTTTTCACTGTCGTCTGTGTTCCCTTTGGGGAGATTTACTCAGGGCTGGGACAAGGGGTGGGCAGGAGGGGCAGCTGCCCGGGGCACTGTGGTATCAATTGAGGTTGGGGGGGGGGGGGTGGGTCACGAGGAGATTGGGGATTCGTGTTGGGAGGGGGAATTTGGGGGACAGCATGGATTAGGAATTGTTCTAGAAGGGAAAATTTGGAGAGGTGTGCTAGAAGTGGTGATTTGGGAAGGAGGGGGGGGGGGGGTTGTGCTAGAAAAGGTGATGTGGTAGAGGGGGAAAGGGATATTTTATTCTTTGGGGGGGGGGGGGGGGGGGGGGGGGGGGGGTTGTACTAGAAGAGGTGATGTGGTAGAGGGGGAAAGGGATATTTTATTCTTTGGGGGGGGGGGGATTTGTACTAGAAGAGGTGATGTGGTAGAGGGGGAAATGGATATTTTATTCTTTGGGGGGGGGGGAATTTGTACTAGAAAAGGAGATGCGGTAGAGGGGGAAAGGGATATTATATTATTTGGGGGGGGGGAGGGGGGATTTGTACTAGAAAAGGTGATGTGGTAGAGGGGGAAAGGGATATTTTATTCTTTGGGGGGGGGATTTGTACTAGAAGAGGTGATGTGGTAGAGGGGGGTAAAGGGATATTTATTCTTTGGGGGGGATGTGTACTAGAAAAGGTGATGTGGTGGAGGGGGAAAGGGATATTTTATTCTTTGGGGGGGGGGGGGGGGGGATTTGTACTAGAAAAGGTGATGTGGTAGTGGGGGAAAGGGATGTTTTATTCTTGGGGGGGATTTGTACTAGTAGGAATGATCTGGGGGTATTTGTGCTAAAAGGGAAAATTTGGGGGGATGGAAATTTGTGTTGGGAGGGGGGGTGATTTTTGGATTGGGGGGAGATTTGTGCTCAGGGGGGAAATTTGAGGGTTAGGGGTTTTGTGGAAGGAGGGGGAATTTTTTTTTTGGGGGGAGGGGGGTATTTGTGCTGGGCAGACAACAGAGGATTTGAACTGAGGGCATGGGGGGGAAACAAAGATTTGTGCTGGGAGGAGGGAGAATTTATACTTAGGGGGCAAGTATGAAGATTAATGCCTGATTTGATATTTGTTTTTGGGGGGAGAAGTGGGATTTGGTGACACATAATGCTCATACATCTTGGGGGGGGGCACAAGTGGGTATGTTCGCCCCGGGCTCTAGGTGACCTTGTCCCAGCACACTGCCCTGACCTCCCGGTGACTATTGTCACCAAAACAGGAAGTTAAAGTATATCTCAAGACAAAACTTTTTTTTTTTTTTTGTTTTGGACAGAGTGGAGACGGATTAGAACACCTATTAAGTTCCTATTGCTGTCTGTGCCCCCCCCCCCCCCCCGGTCAGGGGGATTCACCCTCTCTATCCGTCCTATTGATCGTTATCGCTGAAAGCAAAATAAAATCCCAAATTTTTGAGTTGTCCCCAGAATAGTAATAGAAAGAAAATCGTCCAATGGGGACATTAGTTCTACTAGTTCTGGTGACCTGTGGCTTCACAAGGGATTCTCTTCATTTGCAGGGATTTCATCTCACTTCCTATTTTGGCTATGGGACAGGAAGTGAAGGTAAATCTCCCTAACGGGACACAAAAGGCAAAATCGGACAGGGATTTATAACCCCCCCCTTACTCTATCCAAAAAAACAAACAAAAAGTTTTGCCTATAGGTCTACTTTAGGAGTGATCTAATCATCACTGGAATGGAAAGCCAGGGGAAACCTCCCCCAATTCCTGTTGAACCTCCACAAGGGGTGGAGAATAATCAGACCAAAGGGGAACACAACAAAAAAGGAATAAAGACAGAGGTTCTAACCAATTGCACCTGTTGGGGGGCCTCTTCAGTGCTATGATACCTATAAGTCAGATTGGTTGTCAAGGACAACACTGGCCAACAATCAGCTGAGATGATAGCCACCTGTAAGCCAATTTAACTATGCGCTTTATTAAACTGTGGGGGCTATCATGCTTCTTGGTGGCTACCATGCTGCTTTCAGTTAGTCATTCTGTACTGTAGGAAATAATCCAGTTAAATTGGCCTTTGACACCATTGGGAAGGCCAGCTTGGCCAGTTGTTGGTCTGCAGGGCTCTTGACTACAAGCCAGACTTTAGATTAGCAGGACAATGGAAAGAGGAACATCTCTTAAAGGACACAGGATGGATATTTCCACACGATCTTCCACCATTACATGGATTAAATTAAGATTTTATGCAGAAACCCTCTTTAGAAAAGTTATTTTTCTGCAAAAACGATGCAGAAAAAGGACACATCCAATCCATTCCGGCTTCATCAAAGCGTGAACTCATTTTACCAGAGAACCGTAGGCCTTGCGTACATCTGGTGCCCATACCGCCTTCATGAATTATGCTGGTTGCAAACTTATAATCATATGCACGATGGGTTGGAGAGGATGAACAGATGTCTTCTGTCCTGGCTGGTCATTTTGACTGTTCTTTCTGCTTGGCCAAAGTCTTCTTCAGTTCTCTGAGGTTCTCCGTTAAGACCTCCACTTCGTCCAGCCGACCGCTGTGCTTGGCATCAAATATGTAGGCCTTGATATTGTCGATTTGCTGCAGAAGTAGGTCTTCTTCTATCACCTCCTCTTCATTTGTTCCCAGATCATCAGGCTCATCGAACGGGTTTCCCGGACAAGCCCCCTCATCCTCCTCAAACGGATTTTTTTTGAGGCAGGTGCTTCAGGGGACATGTCGGGAGAGTTCTCAAAAGGATTGGTGGAGACCACGGTTTTCTCAGCTTGTTCCTCTGGCTTTTCCTCATCATCCTCATCGAACGGGTTTATACTCTCTGGTGCCGTTCTGCTGGATAAGGCTTGAGAAGGAAGCAGGCACTGGTTCCTCGCTATCATCCTCAAAGGGGTTTGTGAAAGCAGGTTTGGCCTCTTCCACCTTGGGCAGAACAGGGGAAATACGGAAGTTGGGAACAGTTTCTAAAGACCTTTGATAAATTGTCAGAGAGGTCTGTAAAGGGCTAGTGTCTTGTTTTGGGAGCTGAAGATCCAAGGCTGCCGTTTGCTTGTCTTGCCACCGGATGGGCTGGCTCTGCTCTCGGAAATCCAGTGAGTGAGTCCTGTTGTGCTGGGTCAGCCCCTTGCGTAGCTCTCGGCTTTCCTCCCTCCTCCTCAGCACCTCCAGCTGCTCTTTCTGCATGGCCTCCTCTTCTGCCAGTTCCTTTGACATCTGAATGCCTCTCTCCATCTGCTGCTGGTCAAATTCATCCTGCAGTTGCCTGAGGTTGTCCTCCAGCATTTTCACCTCGTCCACTCTCCCAGCTTCACGTGCCTGCTTGATGTAGGAGGTGATGTTCTCAATCTGCTGCAGAAGAGGGTCTGAGGTCTCTCGAATGTGAGGAGCACCCGACGTAGGTAGCCACCCTTCCACCTTCCGAATACGACCCCTTTGCTGCAGCTCCCCATTCACTACGTCTGTGGGGCGAGAGAAACCATCTCTTCTCCTTTCATCTCCCTTCTTCTGGGAATCAAGAGCAGCCTGGTGGAAAAGAGATCAAAGACAACTTGAGGGAAGATATACCTAAAGAAAGACACAACAAGCAGTTCCAGCATCTCCACAGTAAAGTGATGCAATGCTGTTGCATGCCTTCAGTTATTTAACCCCTCGCCTACAGGGCACTTCTACCCCCTTCCTGCCCCCTGGGCACTTCTACCCCCTTCCTGCCTACAGGGCACTTCCTACCCCCTTCCTGCCTACAGGGCACTTCTACCCCTTCCTGCCTACAGGGCACTTCTACCCCCTTCCTGCCTACAGGGCACTTCTACCCCCTTCCTGCCCCCTGGGCACTTCTACCCCCTTCCTGCCTACAGGGTACTTGTACCCCCTTCCTGCCCAGGCCAATTTCCAGCTTTCAGCGCTGTCACACTTTGAATAACAAATGCGTGGTCATGCAACACTGTACTCATATGAAATTTTTATAATTTTTTTGTGACAGATAGAGCTTTATTTTGGTGGTATGTAATCACCTCTGGGTTTATTTTTTCTTAAACCAAAAAACACTGAAAATTTTGAAAAAAAATAATTTTTTCTTAGTTTTTGTTATAAAATTTTGTAAATAAGTGATTTTTCTCCTTCACTGATGTGCGCTAATGAGGCTGTAGTGATGGGCACTGATAGGCTGCACTGATGGACACTGATAGGTGGCACTGATGAGGAGGCACTGGTAGGTGGCACTAATGGGCATTGACAGGCATCACTGATGGGCACTGGAAGGCAGCACTCATATGGCACTGATAGGTGGCACTGATAGGCGCACTGACTGGCACTGTTAGGTGGCACTGATGGGTGGCACTGAAAGGCAGCTCAGATAGGCACTGATATGTGGCATTGATGTGCACTGGTAGGCACTGAAATGTGGCACTGATGGGCACTGGCAGGTGGCATGGATGAGCACAGAGCTGGCACTGATGAGCACTGACAGCTGGCACTGATGGACACTGACAGGTGGCGCTGCTGGGGCTACACTGATCATCAGGGCACACTGATCATCAGTGCTCTAATGATCTGTGCACATGTCCCCTCCGAGGAATGCCGATTACTGGCTCTCCTCTCCTCACGATCGGGTCAGCGTAACAGCTTGTTGGGAGAGAAATGCCGATAACCGGCATTTCCCTGTTTACATGTGATCAGCTGTGATTGGACACAGCTGATCACATGACCCAGCCGACATCTTTGGCTCTTTCCGTGGATCGGTGATCCGCTGTGTCCGAGGGACACAGTGCACCGTCGATCGCCGCGCTGCCCGCTCCCTGAGCCGCGCATGCGCGGTGAGAATGGGAGGACGTCATATGACGTCCTGCCAGAACGAGAGAACCACGTTGCGCCCGTCATATTACTATATAGCGGGCGGGAGGCGGTTAACAGAATACCAGTGAAGGCTGCCGCACCTGGTTGGCGAGGCTTTATTTTCATAGAACCACAAATCTAATATGCATTTCAAGCTCAGTGACTGAGACCTACAGCAACAAATGCACCAGCATGTGGTTTCATCAAGCAGCAGTGGCAGGTGTCCACTGAGAGCCACACCATGAAGATCCTAAAAGGAGCAAATACAGACAAGACCAGGGGGGAGTGGCCAGGGAAGGAATCATTTAAAGGATAACTGTACAGCATAACAAAGTTCAGTCATCCTTTAAAGAGGATCTGAAAAATGTGAAGATCTGCTATCTTGTAGGGCAGCCTTTCTTAACCAGGGTGCCTTGAGGTTTTTTCAGGGGTTGCCTTGGCAAAATGTCTAAAAATTGCCCAAAACTTGTATACAAGCCAGCGGGTGGAACAAGCCTGCCTTTTAGTTACACAAAGCCACGGGTTTTCATTGTGCGCCATTACGACCTTCTAGCCGCCGGTGTCCTGACAACCAATGACATCATCAGTTGATAAGGAGGATGTCAGCTGTCTGCACAGCATCCTAGTTTGACCCTCCCCCGCCCCTCTCCATCAGTGTTGGGGTCACATTAGCTCAGTGATGGTTGAAAAACTGAGGGAGGGAGGAGAAACATTGGAATACTAGTCAGTACCAGTGTGCAAAAAAGTGTATTTGCTTTGGAAGAATAGATCACCTCTAATGTTGGGTGTCCTCCATGTGTGGATGTTGCTGTGTTAAATAAAACTATTAGAATAGTTTTTCACATTTTACAATGGGTGCCTCGGGACTGTCCACGATTTTAAAGGGCGCCCCGGGACTGTCCACAATTTTAAAGGGCGCCCCGGGACTGTCCACAATTTTAAAGGGCGCCCCGGGACTGTCCACAATTTTAAAGGGCGCCCGCCCCGGGACTGTCCACAATTTTAAAGGGCGCCCCGGGACTGTCCACAATTTTAAAGGGCGCCCCGGGATGTCCACAATTTTAAAGGGCGCCCCGGGACTGTCCACAATTTTAAAGGGCGCCCCGGGACTGTCCACTTTTAAAGGGCGCCCCGGGACTGTCCACAATTTTAAAGGGCGCCCCGGGGACTGTCCACAATTTTAAAGGGCGCCCCGGGACTGTCCACAATTTTAAAAGGGCGCCCCGGGGACTGACTGTCCTGTCCACAATTTTAAAGGGCGCCCCGGGACTGTCCACAATTTTAAAGGGCCCCCGGACTGTCCACAATTTTAAAGGGCGCCCCCGGGACTGTCCACAATTTTAAAGGGCGCCCCGGGACTGTCCACAATTTTAAAGGGCGCCCCGGGACTGTCCACAATTTTAAAGGGCGCCCCGGACTGTCCACAATTTTAAAGGGCGCCCCGGGACTGTCCACAATTTTAAAGGGCGCCCCGGGACTGTCCACAATTTTTAAAGGGCCGCCCCGGGACTGTCCACAATTTTTAAAGGGCGCCCCCGGGACTGTCAACAATTTTAAAGGGCCCCGGGACTGTCCACAATTTTAAAGGGCGCCCCGGGACTGTCACAATTTTAAAAGGGCGCCCCGGGACTGTCCACAATTTTATAAGGGCGCCCCGGGACCGGGACTGTCCACAATTTTAAAGGGCGCCCCGGGACTGTCCACAATTTTAAAGGGCGCCCCGGGACTGTCCACAATTTTAAAGGGCGCCCCGGGACTGTCCACAATTTTAAAGGGCGCCCCGGGACTGTCCACAATTTTAAAGGGCGCCCCGGGACTGACAATTTTAAAGGGCGCCCCGGACTGTCCACAATTTTAAAGGGCGCCCCGGGACTGTCCACAAAAGGGCGCCCCCGGGACTTTAAAGGGCGCCCCGGGACTGTCCACAATTTTAAAGGGCGCCCCGGGACTGTCCACAATTTTAAAGGGCGCCCCGGGACTGTCCACAATTTTAAAGGGCGCCCCGGGACTGTCCACAATTTTAAAGGGCGCCCCGGGACTGTCCACAATTTTTTTAAGGGCGCCCCGGGACTGTCCACAATTTTTAAAGGGCGCCCCGGGACTGTCCACAATTTTAAAGGGCGCCCCGGGACTGTCCACAATTTTAAAGGGCGCCCCGGGACTGTCCACAATTTTAAAGGGGCGCCCCGGGACTGTCCACAATTTTAAAGGGCGCCCCGGGACTGTCCACAATTTTAAAGGGGGACGCCCCGGGGGACTGTCCACAATTTTAAAGGGCGCCCCGGGACTGTCCACAATTTTAAAGGGCGCCCCGGGACTGTCCACAATTTTAAAGGGATCGCCCGGGAAAGGGCGCCCCGGGACTGTCCACAATTTTAAAGGGCGCCCCGGGACTGTCCACACATTTTAAAGGGCGCCCCGGGGACTGTCCACAATTTTAAAGGGCGCCCCGGGACTGTCCACAATTTTAAAGGGCGCCCCGGGACTGTCCACAATTTTAAAGGGCGCCCCGGGACTGTCCACAATTTTAAAGGGCGCCCCGGGACTGTCCACAATTTTAAAGGGCGCCCCGGGACTGTCCCCTACAATTTTAAAGGGCGCCCCGGGACTGTCCACGATTTTAAAGGGCGCCCCGGGACTGTCCACGATTTTTAAAGGGCGCCCCGGGGGACTGTCCACGATTTTAAAGGGCGCCCCGGGACTGTCCCACGATTTTAAAGGGCGCCCCGGGACTGCCCACGATTTTAAAGGGCGCCCCGGGACTGCCCACGATTTTAAAGGGCGCCCGGGACTGCCCACGATTTTAAAGGGCGCCCGGGACTGCCCACGATTTTAAAGGGCGCCCCGGGAGATTTTAAGGGGCTGTCCACGATTTTAAAGGGGCCCCCTGGGACTGCCCACGATTTTAAAGGGCGCCCCGGGACTGTCCCACGATTTTAAAGCCCGATTTTTAAAGGGCGATTTTAAAGGGTGCCTTGAGTGAAAAGAGGTTGAGAAACCCTGTTGCAGGGAACCCCTAAAGTTAAATGTACCTAAGTAGGACCAAGGGTAGGTTTTTTCAGGGTACAAAAGTTATTGTAAAGTTATTTTTTAAATTAAAATAACAAACATGTATTGCGCAGAGCAGCCTCGAACCCCCTCTTCTGGGGTCCCCTGCCAGCAATCCAGTCAATTATGTACCTGTCGCTCTCTTTGTAGTTTCAGCTCGTTCTCCTGTCTACGGCTCTCCTTCAGCTCTTCATATTTCTCTTTGGTTGGCAGTGACATGAGACCCAAAAGTTTTTCCTGGGAAAAAAAAAAGACACCAACATTAGGGCACTATTCCTCTCACTGACACCAACAATAGGGCACTAGTTCCAGCTTCACTGACACCCAACAATGGGGACACTATTCCTCTCACTGACACCAACAATGAGGGCACTAGTCCTTCTTCCACTGACACCAACAATGGGGGCACTATTCCTCTCACTGACACCAATGGGGCACAATGGGGCACTATTCCTCTCACTGATACACCGACAATGGGGCACTAGTTTTTCCACTGAACAACTGATTGATGGTAGTTATATGATATTAGAAGCCAGCAGGCTCAAAACCAGAATCAGCATTCACTGTGTTATTAAGGGTGCCTTTTATTCTAATTTGTTTTCACACGAGTGTTTTAATTTTGTACTAATAAAGGTGACTTATACATTTTTTACATTTGTCCTTCTGTGCCTATAAAGTCTAATGATCCAGTTTAATACTATTATATATCCACTGACACAATGATGGGGCACTATTCCTCCCACTGATACCAATGAGGGAGAGAACTATTCCTCCCACTGACACCAATGATGGGGCACTATTCCTCCCACTGATACCAATGATGGGGCACTATTCCTCCCAACTGATACCAATGATGGGGCACTATTCCTCCCCACTGATACCAATGATGGGCACTATTCCTCCCACTGACACCAATGATGGGGCACTATTCCTCCCCACTGACACCAGATGATGGGGCACTATTCCTCTACTGATACCAATGATGGGGCACTATTCCTCCCACTGATACCAATGATGGGGCACTATATCCTCCCACTGACACCAATGATGGGGCACTATTCCTCCTACTGATACCAATGATGGGGCGACTATTCCTCCCACTGATACCAATGATGGGACACTATTCCTCTCGCTGACACCAATGATGGGGCACTATTCCTCCCAATGATACCAATGATGGGACACTATTTTCCTCTCTCTGACTGACCTCCCACCAATGATGGGACACTATTCCTCTCGCTGACACCAATGAAGGGGCACTATTCCTCTCGCTGACACCAATGAAGGGGCACTATTCTTCCCAATGAAGGGGCTGACACCAATGATGGGACACTATTCCTCTCGCTGACACCAATGAAGGGGCACTATTCTTTCCCACTGACACCAATGATGGGGCACTATTCCTCCCGCTGACACCAATGAAGGGGCACTATTCCTCCCACTGATACCAATGATGAGGGGCACTATTCTCCCACTGACACCAATGATGGGACACTATTCCTCTCGCTGACACCCCAATGAAGGGGGACACTATTCTTCCCACTGACACCAAATGATGGGACACTATTCCTCTCGCTGACACCAATGAAGGGGCACTATTCTTCCCACTGACACCAATGATGGGACACTATTCCTCTCGCTGACACCAATGAAGAGGGGATGACGCTGACACCAATGAAGGGGCACTATTCCTCCCACTGATACCAAATGATGGGGCACTATTCCTCCCGCTTGACTGACACCAATGATGGGACACTATTCCTCCCGCTGACACCAATGAAGGGGCACTATTCCTCCCACTGACACCAATGAGGGGCACTATTCCTCCCACTGACACCAATGAAGGGGCACTATTCCTCCCACTGATACCAATGATGGGGCACTATTCCTTGATACCACTATTCCATCACTGACCAATGATGGGGACACTATTCCTCCCACTGACACCAATGATGGGGACACTATTCCTCTCGCTGACACCAATGATGGAGCACTATTCCTCCCGCTGATACCAATGATGGGGCACTATTCCTCCCACTGATACCAATGATGGGGCACTATTCCTCCCGCTGACACCAATGATGGGGCACTATTCCTCCCTCTAATACTAAAGATGAGATATTAAATAAAATTGGAATAACCTGTGAGACACTTCAAATTTTTTGCACGAGATGTGAGATAAGAAGATAAGTTCGCAGGCTCCTAGCTACATCCTCATTGCATGTACAGTAAATGAAAAACAAACAAAATGTAAAAATGGTGCCGCGCCCTTATATTAAACCCGTGTAGGGATGAATTGAAATAATATTTAAATAAAGGGATTATCTAAATTACTCTAATATAAAATATACAATTCATTGATATACACACACACACACACGAGAAAAAAAAAAAATAAAAAATATATATATATATATGTATATATCAAAAAATAAATATATAAATACATAAAAATATATAACTGATAAAATGTCCAATATATATGAAAGTCCAACCTTGGATGAAATCCCATCAAGATGGGGCTGATTATGATTATTGCAAATTACTGTTCACATAATCCCGGATAATCTACAAGAAGAAATGCTCAAAACATCAAAGGGTTTACTTGGTGTGTTCCTCTATGGAAAAACAAGCTGAATGGTTCTCCTCTTTGCTCCTGCTGATCCTGCTATGGATGGATCCAGGGTAAGGTCCTCCCTCCAACAGATTGTGTCTGCTTTTCTCCCTATTACTCCACGTGTTACCAGGAGGAGAAAAAAGAGAGAGGAATAGTGCCTTATCCTTGGTTAAAATATATATTTATTGGTGCCAATTTTGCACTTACAGATATAAAAACTATATAGCGCTTTTAGTATGTGTGTTGTGATAGGATCCCCCGGACGAAGCCACGTGACCCTGTGGCGCAACGCGTTGGGGAGGGGCACTGACGTCACCACGTACCCGACTCCTACGAACGGCGAGTACAGGCAGTGTGTGTCCACACGCCGTCCAGGCTGGTCACAACAACACATACTATAAAAGCGCTATATAGTTTTTATATCTGTAAGTGCAAAATTGGTAACACGTGGAGTAATAGGGAGAAAGCAGACACAATCTGTTGAAGGGAGGACCTTACCCTGGATCCATCCATAGCAGGATCAGCAGGAGCAAAGAAGAGAACCATTCAGCTTGTTTTCCATAGAGGAACACACCAAGTAACCCTTTGATGTTTTGAGCATTTCTGCTTGTAGATTATCCGGGATTATGTGAACAGTAATTTGCAATAATCATAATCAGCCCCATCTTGATGGGATTTCATCCAAGGTTGGACTTTCATATATATTGGACATTTTATCAGTTATATATTTTTATGTATTTATATATTTTATTTTTGATATATACATATATATATATTTTTTTTTTATTTATTTTTTTCTTGTGTGTGTGTGTGTGTATATATCAATGAATTGTATATTTTATATTAGAGTAATTTAGATAATCCCTTTATTTAAATATTATTTCAATTCATCCCTACACGGGCTTAATATAAGGGCGCGGCACCATTTTTCATTTTGTTTGTTTTTCATTTACTGTACATGCAATGAGGATGTAGCTAGGAGCCTGCGAACTTATCTTCTTATCTCACATCTCGTGCAAAAATTTGAAGTGTCTCACAGGTTATTCCATATATATACATATATATTATTTTTTTTTTTTTTTGGTGTGTATATCAATGAATTGTATATTTTATATTACAGTAATTTAGATAATCCCTTTATTTAAATATTATTTCAATTCATCCCTACACGGGCTTAATATAAGGGAGTGGCACCATTTTTCATTTTGTTTGTTTTTAACCCCTTCACGCCTAAGGGTAAAACAAATCTAAATGCCTAAGCACAATTCTGCACCGTTGACATGTGATAGCAAAACCGTACATATCATCACAACTACTTTGCACATCCAGGTGGATTATACCTTGATTTTTTCAGGACAAATTGGGCTTTTCATTTGGTGGTAAATGGTAATGGATATCTCCTGATTTTTTTTTTATTATCAAAGGAAAACTGGCCAAAAATAGTAAAAAAAAATCCTTTTATTTTAATTTAGCTATGTGTTTCTTGTTATGACCATAACCTACCACCAAAGAGAAACCCAAAATAAATTCTCCAGCTCTTGACGATCGCAGCGATACCATATATGTGTATGTTATTTGTTGTTTGTACCCTTAGTACAGCCCAGAAACCATAGTGCGCATTTTGTTTTTGTCTTTTTTTTTTTTTTTTTTTTACCTAAAACACACTGACACTAACTGACACTGACATTAACATTAACTGACACTGATACCAATTTTTTTTAAATCCTGACCTTGACTTTTGACCCTGACCTTTGACCTTGACCCTGACCTTTGACCTTGACCCTGACCTAAACACTAACCCTGGCACTGAACTAGATCAAACCTTGATCTAGGTATTTTTTTTTATTTTTTTCTTTTATTTTTTTTAATATTTATTTATTTATCTTTTTTTTTTTTTTTTTTTTTACAAACTTTTTTTTTTCCTTCTCTCTGACAGGAGTTTGAGAGATACAATGTATCTCTCTTCTCCATTCATAGAGAGAGAGAGAGAGAAAAAAAACAAGGGGGCCGGGCTGCACAGTGACTGATCACTGTGATAGCCAATCAGAGGCTATCACAGCGATCATGTGACCCGGAACCGGGAGTCCCGGGTCCCGATCGTTAGAACGGGACCCGGTGCTCTCAGTGACACCGCGGTCTCGGTGCTGGGAGCGCGCTGAGGGGCGCGCTCCCAACACAAAGACAGGTACGCAAATATGCGGCCCCACGGAAAAAAGCCCAGGTCCGTGAGGCCGCATATTTGTGTTACGTCGGCGTCAAGGGGTTAAAGATTGTTTAATCCCACTGATATCAGGGCTCCTTACTTCTGCTGACCCTACTGCGGCCCCCCCCCTAAAGTCTGAAATACAATAAACTTGGCCCTTTGTCTTGAAAGTTTGGAGACCCCCGATTTAGAAGAATGAAACATCTGACTTCTGTTGTAACCTCTTACTCCAGCACTGAATCACAGCTGAAGGAGAGGGTCAAAGTTTAGGGAGAGCTACTGAATGACCAGCTCTGCCCGATCACCATTCGGCCGCACCCTCGTCGCTGAGCTCCAACACAAGAGGTAATTCCTCTATATTTGAAGGCACGTGATTTCCCCTTTAAATGGCGGATTGCATTCCCGTAGCCCCAGTGAAGCCGATACCTGTACAAACAGCGTGGCCGAGTATCGAATCATCTTCTGCAGCTGCAAGTTTTTCGGGTGAGGTTTGGGCTCTTCCTTCACTCCCAAAATTAGTATTTTTTTGCTAAAATCAGCAAGAAAAAAAATAAAGAAGATTTTTTGAACACAAAAAGGACAATCGCAAAGTCTTCACATTTAATACATTGCTAGAAAATCCAACAATCAATGATTAATAGAAAACCTGGACCGCGGAAGCTGTGCCTAAAACGGCACACGAGGCAAAGAACTAGTCTAGAATGTGTATTGCAGGTTCCAGGAATTTTCAATGGACCCGGGGGGTATAGCTCATGGCCAGCAGAAGATTTTACCCCCTTCATGGCTAGGGCACATTTTTTTTCAGCACTGCACTACTTTAACCACTTGCAGTCCGGCCGCTGTATATAAACGGCTGGACATGGTAGTCCAGGGGCGGGTTCTCGTTCATAAACGGCGCCCGCCATTTTGGATTGTGCGCTCTCCCTGGGAGAGCGCAGTACCGCGATCCGGTTCCCGCTGCTGTGTCAGGAGGATCACTCTGTGCGAGGTCCCGATCATGTGATCACCGATTGGCCAATCAGTGATCACATGCAAAGTAGTAAGCAAGAGGTCACTTCTGACATCATTGCTTACTACGTGTGAAATCTGTGAATGATCACAGAGAACACATGGTACAGGGCTATTCACAACAGTCTTGTACCATGTGACAAGCTGTGACCAATCACAGCTCTCACAGTATTTCTCAATGGCTGCAGGAATGCAGCCAGAGAGAAGGAGAAATGATTGATTTTACAGCCTTTATGGGTGTAAAAGCAAACAGTGTGGGAAAAAAAAAAAAAAAAAAAAAATCTTCATCACCCCCCACAGGTAGTACAGTGTCACCATGCTAGGGTGACGGTATGTTAAAAAAAAAAAAAAAAAAAAAAAAAAAAAAAATAATAACATAAAAAAATAAAATAAAAATATAACTTTTTTGCTTGAAAAATTATTTTTGGTTATAAACTAATTTGGGTTATTTTTATTTTTTTTTTTTAACTAAAAAGATAACCGAATAAATTTTGGCCAGGACTTATGAAGAAAGATTATTTATTTGCAAAATTTTATAAGAAAAACACTTTTCAACATTTGTGGACTTTTTCATTTATATAGCAAAAAAAAAAAAAATCCCAGTGGTGAATAAATACCACCAAAATTACGTTTTATCTGTCTCAAAAAATGCTAAAAAAATTATTCCGGGCAGTGTTGCATGACCGCGCAATTGTCATTCAAAGTGTGATAGCGCTGAAAGCTGAAAATTGGCCTGGGGGGGAAGGGGGTGGAAGTGTCCGGACTGAAAGGGGGGGGGGGGGAGGCGTCCGGAAAAGAGGCGTCCGGACGTCCGAAGGGGGGGGGGGGGGGAAGGGGGGAGGCGTCCGGACCGGAAGGGGGGGGGGGGGGGGGGGGAGGCGGACCGGAAGGGGGGGACCGGAAAGGGGGGGGAAAGCGTCCGGGGGAAGGGGGGGGAAAGCGTCCGGACCGGAAGCGGGTCCGGACCGGAAAGGGGGGGGGGGGGACCGAAGGGGGGTCCGGACCGGAAGGGGGGGGAAAGCGTCCGGACCGGAAGGGGGGGGGGAAAGCGTCCGGACCGGAAGGGGGGGGGGGGGCGTCCGGACCGGAAAGGGGGGGGAAAGCGTCCCGGACCGGAAGGGGGGGGGGGAAAGCGTCCGGACCGGAAGGGGGGGGAAAGCGTCCGGGGGGGGAAAGCGTCCGGACCGGAAGGGGGGGGGAAAGCGTCCGGGGGGGGGGGGGGGGGGGAAGCGGGGGGGGGGGGGGGAAAAGCGTCCGGACCGGAAGGGGGGGGGAAAGCGACCGAAAGCGTCCGGACCGGAAGGGGGGGGGGAAAGCGTCCGGACCGAAGGGGGGGGGGGGGGAAAGCGTCCGGGGGGGGGGGAAAGCGTCCGGACCGGAAGGGGGGGGGGGGGAAAGCGTCCGGACCGAAGGGGGGGGGAAAGCGTCCGGAAGGGGGGGGGAAAGGAAGGGGGTCCGGACCGGAAGGGGGGGGGGGGGGAAAGCGTCCGTCCGGAAAGCCGGAAGGGGGGGGAAAGCGTCCGGACCGGAAGGGGGGGGAAAGCGTCCGGAAGCGTCCGGACCGGAAAGGGGGGGGGGGGAAAGCGTCCGGACCGGAAGGGGGGGGGAAGGGGGGGGGAAGCGTCCGGACCGGAAGGGGGGGGGGGGGGGAAAGCGTCCGGGGGGGGGAAAGCCCGGAAGGGGGGGGGGAAAGCGTCCCGGACCGGAAGGGGGGGGAAAGCGTCCGGAAGGGGGGGGAAAGCCCGGAAGGGGGGGGAAAGCGTCCGGACCGGAAGGGGGGGGGGGGGGAAAGCGTCCGGACCGGAAGGGGGGGGGAAAGCGTCCGGACCGGAAGGGGGGGGACCGGAAGGGGGGGAAAGCGACCGGAAGGGGGGGGGAGCGTCCGGACCGGAAGGAAGGGGGGGGGGGGTGGAAGCGTCCGGACCGGAAGGGGGGGGAAAGCGTCCGGACCGGAAGGGGGGGGGAAAGCGTCCGGACCGGAAGGGGGGGGGGGGAAGCGTCCGGACCGGAAGGGGGGGGGAAGGGGACCGGAAGGGGGGGGAAAAGCGCGTCCGGACCGCTTTTTAAATAAACCACGTTTTTCTTAGTTTCACTTAAAACATTTTGCAACCAATGTTTCTTCATAAATTTGGGCCAAAAAGTATTCTGCTACATTTCTTTGGTAAAAATAACCCAAATCAGTGTTTATTATTTAGCCGTGTGAGTTATAGAGTCTACAAACGAAGGGAGATATATCTGAAAATCGATAAGTCCTGATGTACTGACGGCGGATCTAATTTCTTGAGGCCCTAAAACTGCCAGGATAGTACAAATATCCCCTAAATGGCCCCTTTTTTTGAAGGTAGGTATTTAGTAAGAAGCATGGTGAGCTTTTTGAAGTTGTCATTTTCTGCCACACTTTTGTTGGAAAATGAAGAAATCAAATAAAATTGTGTTTTCTTACATACTGCCACCAGTGCAGTGCCATCATAGAACTGGTGTGGCGGTGCGGCGATCAGGGATACTGATTGGTGACAGTATTTAAAAAAAAAAAAAAAAAAAAACAGTTAAAAAAATAAAATCATTTTTAATTTTTTAAACATTTTTCTTCAACCAGACATGAACACCCACCTTACTGTGTTCATTTCCAGCAAGAAATAATAGCAAACTGGACAACATTTATAGCCCCAGCTACTTTGAGGATTCAGCACTTAAAAGTAGTGGTGCACTGAAATGAAAATTCTGGTGCAGAAACCGAAAATTCAAAATGCACTTGGCCAAAAACCGAAATGTGCAGTTTTTAAAATTAATATATAAGTTTTTGGAAAAAAATACACTGATTTAAAAAAAAAAGAAAAAAAAAATTCTCTCTCTCTCTCTATATATATATATCTAACCATATCCATCTATCTATATATACACACATATACAACAATTTTTTTTTGTAAAATATGAAATGGGATGTTATGGCGAGTAAATAGATACCCAACATGTCACACTTTAAAATCGTGCACGCTCGTAGAATGGTGTGAAACTGCGGTACTTAAAAATCTCCATGGGTGATGCTTCAAAAATTTCTGCAGGTTAGCAGTGTAAAGTTACAGAGGAGGTCTAGTGGGAGAATTATTGCTCTTGCTCTGACGTTCGTGGTGATACATCACGTGTGTGGTTTGAACACCATTTACATATATGGGCAGGGCCTACGTATGCGTTCACCACTACGTGCTAGCACGGGGGGGGACGGGGGCACGTTAAACTTTTTTATTGTAAATGTTTTTTTTTTGCACTGTCCCTTTAAAAAAAATGTAATCACTTTTATTCTTATCACAAGAAATGCATGCATCCCTTGTGATAGAAATAATTAGAGACAGGTCCTCTTTATGGAGAGATGTGGGGTCAATAAGACCTCACATCTCTCCTCTGCAATGTAAAGCATTAGATAAAAAAAAGCATTGATCTAGTGCAGTAATGGGCAAACTACGGCCTGGCGGACCTTTTAATCCGGCCCGCGGAGCGTGATACATTGGCTGTCAGGATGTGTGTAGGCGGGGCAGCGTGATGAACGTGAAGGGAGCTAGGCTCCTCTCACAGTCCGCCCTGAAGACCGGAACGGCGCGGGAACACGGCGAGAGGAACGCGCGGAGCAAAGGTAAGTAAATTGACACAGGGGGGACTTGGGGACTTAATATGGGGGGCTGAATTAATATGGGGAATTAATTACTATAGGGGGGGATGAATATATGGGGGATGAATTACTATATGGGGGATGAATTACTATATGGGGGGATGAATTACTATATGGGGGGATGAATTACTATATGGGGGGGATGAATTACTATATGGGGGGATGAATTACTATATGGGGGGATGAATTACTATATGGGGGGATGAATTACTATATGAGGGAATTACTATATGGGGGATGAATTACTATATGGGGGATGAATTACTATGGGGGTGAATTACTATATGGGGGATTAATTACTATGGGGGATGAATTACTATATGGGGGATTAATTACTATGGGGGATGAATTACTATATGGGGGATTACTATGATGAATTACTATGGGGGATGAATTACTATGGGGGATGAATTACTATGGGGGATTAATTACTATGGGGGATTAATTACTATATGGGGGGGGGATGAATTACTATATGGGGGATTAATTACTATATGGGGGATTAATTACTATGCTTACTATGGGGGAATATTACTATACTTACTATGGATGACACATACACATCATTCATCTACTGTTGGTCCGGCCCCCGGGTCCAATATATGAACCCATTGCGGCCCTCAAGTCAAAAAGTTTGCCCACCCCTGATCTAGTGCTTTAAAAAAAGAAATGGCCGGCACGGGAAGTGACATTGCTTTGGTCCTCCAAGGGCATAGAGATGAGTGGAAGCCATCTTTCCTTCACTCATCTCTATGCCCAGCGCCGGGATCGATGGTTTCTCAGGTAAGGCCCCATGTACATGGGACACTTCTGAATGATGGAAACTGACTGCTGGAAAATGTAGGTTAAAAAACATCTGTTTAGCCGCGTTTGCATAACGCATTTATGCGCGTTTGCGTTTAGAAGAGTTTTTTAAAGATAAGCACAGGAGAACGTCCCAAATGCCCAGAATGCACTGAAAAGTGGTAAATAATTAACTATTTCAGACTGTTTCAGAGAAATACAGAGAGTAGAAGAAGAGACAGCAGTATGTGTTGAGATTAGCTGAGGTGTGAGTTGCTCATTAACATTTCTTTCATTAAGGCCGCCTGGCAGGGGGTCTTCATGAGGAATTTGAGGTGTGAATGGTCATTAACATATCTTTTGGTTCCAAGGGTGGGAGAGGTCTGAGGTGTGAATTGGTCATTACAATGTGTGACAAGTTTGGTAGGAACATCCTGTGTTCAGTGTTTTGTCCATTTGAGTACCTTGAAAACGCTTTGCATGCATTTTTCATGATGAAAAAAGGCTCTGGACAGCATCGGGAACTGGAAGAGTTAAAAAAAAATCCAAACACAAACATTTATGGAAGCGATATGCCGCGTTTACAAGCGTTTTGCGTTTGAAACGCTGATAAAATCGACTGCTGAATGCAAGTTTTCTGTGTTCAAAAAAAGGACTGTAAACTCAACTGCCTGTAAATGATGGTGTGTACATGGAGACATAGGAAAACATTAAGGCGAGTTCAGGGGCTGCTGAAAAAAATGCTGAACAGATCCTAAACGGGAGTTTATCAGCTGCAGTGCACATGAGCCCTAAGGCTGAGAACTACCGAGCGGCGGCCGGTGGAGTTTTTTTGGAACCTGTATCGGTGCTTTTTTTCATTTCGGCCAGCGGCTGAAAGGCGTGTTTTCGGCCGAAACATTTCGGCCACTGAAATTTTGGTGCATTCCTACTTAAAAAAGCATCTTCTTTTTCAATTGAATTCAATGCAAACACACTTGTTTCTCACCTAAAAGCATCTATTGACTCGTAGAGCTTCTGCACCTCCACTCTCAGGCTGTTGGCATGGTCCAAATTGTAGGTTGTCTCACCAGCACTGCAGGGTAAAATAAATACAAAACACAATTCAATACTAATCGTCGGATAATTAGCCCTTGTCAGCAAGGCACAGATAGGAGCCGCAAAATATCACAAGGAAAGTGGGCGTGCAAGGCGTGTAGAAGTACAGGAAGACTCACCAAACACCCACATTGTTTTTGGAAATGTGTTTTAAAGAATCTTAACTAGTTGAGGGCTTTAGTCAACTTGTTCTTCAAAAAAAAAAAAAAAAAAAAAAAAAAAAAGTGCAGAAAGAAAAAACTTGCAATTCCATAACAGCCTCAAAGCAGAGTGTCTTTCAAGCCTTGTGCATGGCTGAGGTTCCAACATTACCCCAGTGGCGGCCAGCAGTTCGTCCACGCCTAACCTAGAACCACCAGGTGTTGTCATACATCAGGGATGAGGAGTGATAATACCACCCAAAACGTACTCTCCGCTCCTCACAAGACCTCCTACTCTCTAGTTCCCTGGTCTCCTCCTCCCATGCCAGTCTACAGGACTTCTCCAGGGCTTCCCCCATCCTCTGGAACTCCCTACCCCAATCCATCAGACTATCACCTGCTCTTCTCACCTTTAGGCGCACTTTGAAAACCCATCTCTTCAGAGAAGCCTACCCCGCCCTCAGCTAATTGCCGATCTCCTCCACTCTTCCTACCACTCCATCCCCCACAGCTATTTCCTCCTGTACCACTATCCCCTCCCTCCTAGATTGTAAGCTCCAAGGAGCAGGGCCCTCGACCCTCGTGTATTGAATTGTATGGTTACTGTACTGTCTCGTGTACTGTCTCCCATTGTAATGTACAGCGCTGAGCGAACTGTTGGTGCTATATAAATCCTGTATAATAATAATAATTAGAATGATTGTTGTTGAGGCAAGAGTTCGCTGGTGGATATGGAATGCAAAACTCCTCTATCCAAGAAATGAATTTTTCCGCAGCAATTTGGTTCATCCAGAGAGAGACATTTATTGGGTTCCGGGACAGTGAACAAGATGCTAACAACAGGTGACAAAATCCAACAGAATATTTGTAAATATTACGACGAACAGCAGCCCTCAGAGACCCATCTAAGATACTTCATATCAAACACAGCGACCCTACACAATCCAGCAATGTCTAATCTATAACATACACCTAGGTAGCTTCCATGCAATGCAATAATGTGTGTTCCAATCTATACCGATGCTTCCAGATTGATGAATGAATGAACCTAACAGCCCAACCTTCCCTCTGAAATATCAGTGAGTAAAACTGCAAGGGGTTTCTGATTGGCTGACCAAACACTTTTGATCTTAACATGAAAAGACCCCGCTTACAATTATTGAAAAACAACAATTAATGACATTATAGTGTTTACCAAGTAAACAAGTTACCCTTTCACCATTTCCAGTGAATTGAGTCTACTTACCATCAATAAATACTTCTTGTATGGTCAAATCACATTCTTCATCACCCTTAAATATGTAAACAATGTACCCTTTGAAATGCTTATCCGTACAAATCTGCATTTTACAACCCCTTGTAGGTAGCCTTGCAAATAACCTGCTTTGAAAAAGTTGAATTGGATGGCAGAGACCATTAGCTAGCCATTGCTGACCTGTGCCAAAACAAGGCTCTGTATACTGTGTGTGGTCGTGGTCTCTCTCTCTCTCCCTCTCCCTCTATATATATATATATATATATATATATATATATATATATATATATATATATATATATATATATATATATATATATATATATATATATATATATACATACACATATATATATACACACATATATATATATACAGCGGGTATCGAAAGTTTGGGCACCCCAGCTAAAAATTTGTATTAATGTGCATAAAGAAGCCAAGGAAAGATGGAAAAATCTCCAAAAGGCATCAAATTACAGATTAGACATTCTTATAATATGTCAACAAAAGTTAGATTTTATTTCCATCATTTACACTTTCAAAATAACAGAAAACAAAAAAATGGCATCTGCAAAAGTTTGGGCCCCCTGCAGAGTTAATATCTTGTACTGCCCCCTTTGGCAAGTATCACGGCTTGTAAACGCTTTTTGTAGCCAGCCAAGAGTCTTTCAATTCTTCTTTGAGGTATCTTTGCCCATTCTTCCTTACAAAAGTCTTCCAGTTCTTTGAGATTTCTGGGCTGTCTGTCACGCACTGCTCTTTTAAGGTCTATCCATAGATTTTCAATGATGTTGAGGTCAGGAGATTGTGAAGGCCATGGCAAAACCTTCAGTTTACGCCTCTTGATGTAATCCCCCGTGGATTTCGAGGTGTGTTTAGGATCATTATCCATTTGTAGAAGCAATCCTCTCTTTAACTTCAGCTTTTGCACAGATGGCATCAAGTTACCATCCAAAATTTGCTGAAATTTTATTGAATCCATTTTTCCTTCTACTCGTGAGATGTTCCCTGTGCCACTGGCTGCAACACAACCCCAAAGCATGATTGATCCATCCCCATGATTAACAGTTGGACAGAGGTTCTTTTCATTAAATTCTGTGCCCCTTCTTCTCCAAACGTACCTTTGCTCATTCCGGCCAAAAAGTTCAATTTTAACCTCATCGGTCCACAGAACTTGTTTCCAAAATGCATCCGGCTTGTCTATGTGTTCATTTGCAAAGTTCAAATGATGATTTTTGTGGTGAGGACGTAGAAGAGGTTTTCTTCTGATGACTCTTCCATGAAGACCATATTTGTACAAGTATCTCTTTATAGTGGAATAGTGTACCACAACTCCAGTGTCTGCCAGATCTTTCTGGAGGGATCGTGCAGTCAAACGTGGGTTTTGAATTGTTTTTCTCACAATCCTGCGAGCTGTTCTGTCTGATATTTTTCTTGGTCTTCCAGATCTTGCTTTAACTTCCACTGTTCCTGATGACTGCCATTTCTTAATTACATTCCGAACAGAGGATATTGACATCTGAAAACGCTTTGCTATCTTCTTATAGCCTTCTCCAGCTTTGTGAGCGTCAACTATTTTCAGTTTCAGTTTTCTATTTCTGATTGTTGGGGCAAGGTCAGATGAGTCTGGGCATTTAAAACCTTTGAGATTGACATCACCTGGTCTTCCCAGACGATGATTGAGAACAATCCATGACACTGGCAGGTCTTAGCTTGGAAAAGGGGGCAGTGCATGCTATAAATTCTGCAGGGTGCCCAAACTTTTGCAGACGCCATTTTTTTGTTTTCTGTTATTTTGAAAGTGTAAATGATGGAAATAAAATCTAACTTTTGTTGACATATTATAAGAATGTCTAATCTGTAATTTGATGCCTTTTGGAGATTTTTCCATCTTTCCTTGGCTTCTTTATGGACATTAATACAAATTTTTAGCTGGGGTGCCCAAACTTTCGATCCCCACTGTATATCAAACACACACGGTATACAGAGCCTTGTTTGTACATTACATACATTTATTTAATTTTTTTTCACATTTATAAAAACACACACAATATACTACACCAGGAACAGCAAGTCAGCCATCATCAGATGCCCACATTGGCCTACTGGTTTCACCGTAGACCTGCAGCTCAATTCCAAGACCAACACTCAGTGAGTGTGTCTTCTGTTGTCCTCCAAAGTCAAGCCTAAACAAGAGCAGGTCTGTCCCTTCCTCCAAGGGGGTACAACTAGAGTTTGTGGGTCTTGATGTACCTCCCAGAGGATGGCAGAGGAAGGAAACTTCATGCAAGTAAACAAACCCACTTCTCAAGAGGAAGGGAGTGGAGGTAAGTATCATACATCTTCCAGGATATCCAGGAGGTCTCCACTACCAAATCCCACCTTATCCAGCCTGAAGGTAGTCTGGTGGGGGACTGTAGACCTCTGAATAGCTGGTGGCTGACGTGTTTCGAGGTTGTACCTCTTCCTCAGAGGCAGTCACTGGCTCTGAGGAAGAGGTACAACCTCGAAACGAGTCAGCCACCAGCTATCCAGAGGTCTACAGTCCCCCACCAGACTACCTTCAGGGGTTTTGGACCACACTGCATCTCTTGTGACATGCTTTCCATTTGCTTTTATTTCTCTTGTATTTTACTTTTTATCAATAAATCTCATTTTTAGGCCGTGCACCCCGTTTTTTGTCTCTTTATATACTGTACTCCATTGGATGCGGTCATCAGGCTCAGTACGAGGCTGCTGCGATATCATGAGCCAGACATATTGCGAAGACTTACTTGATAGACTGGGCCATCCTGATGTATTCAGGGGCCTTCTCATCCACCTCGTCCATGCAGTTTCGAAGTCTCTATGAGGATTTAAGAAAAGAAAACTCAGTGTATGTTCCCCAAAGTGGTTTACAACAATCAGGCCCAATGTGCTGTGAAAAAAGCAACGTTACAGTCCATATCCGCACTCCCTTAGTAGAGCCTCCCCCCAAGACGTTCTACATTTTTTATATACTTACCATTTTCAGAGGTTTTTCACGTTGGTCACGTGATAAGCGGGGGCCACATCGGTCTCAGCAATGGACGGTCCTCAGTGATGCAGAGGACGGCGGCACAAACATGACGATATCAGTTCCGCTCCCTGCATCAATACACTGTAAGTAGGACGCCACGGTAGAGCCAAGTGAGTGAAGACTTCGTTTGTCCTCAGTCTTCCCAAGTTTACCTCTCAGGCTCCGGAAGGTCCCCCCCCCCCCCCCTTTCATGATCACGCAATTTTTTGCTATTCAGTACTGTGCTACTTCAACTGGTAATTGCACGGTCATGCAATGCTGTACGCAAATGAATTCTACCCAATTTTTTCACAAAAATATAGCTTTCTTTTGGTGGTATTTGATCACCTCTGGGTTTTTTATTTCTTATTTTATAAACAAAAAAATTACCGAAAATGTTGAAAAAAACTTTTGTTTTTTTACTTTCTGCTATAAAACATACCCAATAAAATCAAATTTCTTCATAAATTTAGGCCGTAATGTATTCTGCTACATGCCTGTTAGAAAAAAAAAATCCCAATCAGCATATATTGATTTGTGTGAATTTTATAGTATCTAGAAACTATGGGATATATACTGGAATTTTTTCTTTTTTTAGTGGCTTTTGGGCTACTACTTCCATACCCCTATACCAGGGGTAGGCAACCTGAGAGCCGCAGGACTACAAGTTCCATCATGCCTCTGCAAGTCATAGCTGTAACTGTCAATTTTGCAATCTTTGCAATGCCTCATGGGAAATGTAGTTCCACAACAGCTAGAGAGCCGTAGGTTGCCTACCCCTGACCTATACACTGGAATTTGTTTTTCCACACTAGTAATGGCGTTGATCAGCGACTTATTGTAGGACTGTCAGGCAGGCAATCTGACACTGGGAAAGGAACTGACTAAATGACACTGACACCCCCAGTGACACTAATACAGTGACCAGTGATAATACTATATGTTGTCACTGTACTAATGACACTGGCTGGGAAGGAGTTAACATCTCAGGGTACTCAAGGGGTAAAAGGTGTGCCTAACAAGTGTTAATGTGTGTAACGTGCTACTTTTTAGTAAATACTGTTTTTGTTCCTTCTCCCTGCTTTGCAGGGAGAAGAAACAAACATATTGTTCCCTCTGTACAGAGTCCTGTATGTTTGTCAACACAGAGCTTTGGGCTGTGATTGGGCACAGCCGATCAGCAGGTCTCAGTCATGAATCATTGGCTGAAACCTGTTGACAAATTTCCGCTGTGTCCAATCACAGTGGGAGTCGGCCGGGGGGAGGGTGCGCGGAGGCAGCCTGAACCCAGAAGACAGCGCCAATGTACAGGTATGCGGTTGTGCCTGTACGAGTCGCTCCGCCCGCAGTAAAATGCAGGCGGATGGTTGCCAATTGGTTAATGATGCTGAGCTGAATTTAACCTGGAAGAAGAGGATATCTTGTGGTGGAAGAAGTACCGCAGGGAAGAGCTCCAGATTGACGGTCAGTACTGCTGCCAGAGATTTCTTTTCTTTTAAACCATGTGTATTGATGCTCAGATTTGGGCATCAAAAAGATTCGCTATATCTATCTATCTATCTATCTATATTTGCTTTTCTTTCCTGCCATTCCAAACTGCTGCCAGATGTGAAGTAAATAATCAATCCTAAGTATTTAAAATCATGTTTGGAGTGAGATTTGGCGATGTCACTACCGTGCTGCTCATTGTTCTCCTTGCTGGAGAGGAAGCTGTACCTGAGACCTGCAGAGCAAGATTCTCCCCTGCTTCATCTATTCCATGGAACCGTGCTTCTTCCACCACTCCTGCTGCTTTTTGGTCAATTGCTCACCAGTCATCAGGGCTCTGACATGAGGAAGCAAAGCCCTGCCTCTACCACGATGGCCACCTCCATGCAGAGCGTGCAGAACAAAGGATGGCAAGTCAATACTTGGATAAAAATGAGCTGCAGGAAGCCCACAGTGGCTAGTCCTTTTGCCCTCTGCTTGACATTTTGGGAACAGCTTCCACAGTACAGGTCCCCTTTAGCAAAGCAAGAAAAAGGACGACAGCACCACAGCTTTCACCTGCAGCGGATTAGCGGTGGCAAATTCCATATTACTTGTTTCCTTTGGTCTTGTGTTCACAATGCTACACTCTAATAAAAGTTCAGCCAGTGTTCAGTATGTAGTGCACAAGCCGCTTCTCACCTGATAATGGCGGACAATCTCTGGCGTGTGCTCTTTCTCGTCCATTTGCATCTCCCGCTTGAGCAGCGTGTCCTTACAGTGCTGGCAGCAGCGGATCTTGTCGTCATCTTTTTCCTCCAGGACGGAGCTGACACTGCTGAGACTGCTGATGCTGCCCCGGCGCGAGGTCTGGGCGCTGGTGTTAGGGGACAGATTGGGGCTACTGTGAGATGAGGCTGAGTGCTTGCTGGCGCTAGTGAGCTTGTCTGTAAAAGGCAAAGACAGATTAAAGTGTTACTAAACCTCGGACCCCGCATTCACTATATCCGCTCTCCCCGGACCCCGCATTCACTATATCCCGCTCTCCCCAGACCCCGCATTCACTATATCCGCTCTTCCCGGACCCCCGCATTCACTATATCCGCTCTCCCCAGACCCTGCATTCACTGTATCCGCTCTCCCTCTCCCCGGACCCCGCATTCACTATATCCGCTCTCCCCGGACCCCGCATTCACTATATCCGCTCTCCCCGGACCCCGCATTCACTATATCCGCTCTCCCCGGACCCCGCATTCACTATATCCGCTCTCCCCGGACCCCGCATTCACTATATCCGCTCTCCCCGGACCCCCGCATTCACTATATCCGCTCTCCCCGGACCCTGCATTCACTATATCCGGTCTCCACGGACCCTGCATTCACTATATCCGGTCTCCCCGGACCCTGCATTCCCTATATCCGCTCTCCCCGGTCCCTGCATTCACTATATCCGTTCACCCCGGACCCTGCATTCACTATATCCGCTCTCCCCCCCCTGGTCACTATATCCGCACTCCCCCCAGCATTCACTATATCCGTTCACTATATCCCCGGTCCCCGCATTCACTATATCCGCTCTCCCCGAACCCCGCATTCATTATATCCGCTCTCCCCGGTCCCCCGCATTCACTATATCCGCTCTCCCCGGACCCCGCATTCACTAGATCCGTTCACCCCGGACCCCGCATTCACTATATCCGTTCACCCCCGGACCCCGCATTCACTATATCCGTTCACCCCGGACCCCGCATTCACTATATCCGTTCACCCCGGACCCCGCATTCACTATATCCGCTCTCTCCCCAGACCCCGCATTCACTATATCCCGTCTCCCCCAGGACCCCGCATTCACTATATCCGCTCTCCCCCGGACCCCGCATTCACTATATCCGCTCTCCCCAGACCCCGCATTCACTATATCCGCTCTCCCCCCGGACCCCGCATTCACTATATCCGCTCTCCCCGGACCCCGCATTCACTATATCCGCTCTCCCCAGACCCCGCATTCACTATATCCGCTCTCCCCGGACCCCGCATTCACTATATCCGCTCTCCCAGGACCCCGCATTCACTATATCCGCTCTCCCCGGACCCCGCATTCACTATATCCGCTCTCCCCGGACCCCGCATTCACTATATCCTCGTCTCCCCGGACCCCGCATTCACTATATCCGGTCTCCCCGGACCCCGCATTCACTATATCCGGTCTCCCCGGACCCCGCATTCACTATATCCGGTCTCCCCGGACCCCGCATTCACTATATCCGGTCCCCGCCCGGACCCCCGCACCCCGCATTCACTATATCCGGTCTCCCCGGACCCTTCATTCACTATATCTGCTCTCCCACCGTACACTGAACATGGAAAAGCAATTATTTTAGTAAATATAAACTGCTAAATACCTTTTCTCATCAGCAATATACAGCAGTCTTGTGACTTATATCAGTGTCCAGCTGAGCACCACTTAAAGCTTGTAGGAGTTTTCGTTGTGCTTTGACTGTCCTATGAGGCTGCCTAACCCTGACCCTCTGTCTGGACAGCACTCATTGGCCCTCTGCTCATCACATGCACTCTCCCAAAGAAAAATAAAACTCTACCAATACACACTAAACTGAGCATGTGCAGAGTGTATCCTAGAGCTCTGTGCTATTAGATGGATTGGGGACAGTAGAAGACGAGATCAAACAGCCTTTTTACACAATGCAGAGGATTAACCCCTTAGGTCTCACAGTGAGTATAACACAAGCATGCTTTACTGCATCTACAGACTGATTGTACTGTTGTGGGTTTAGTAAAACCTTAAAGTGGAACTGCATCTGAGCATCACAAACCAAAAATGCTATTTAATTCATTGTTCATATTCAAAGCAAACTCACCCATCCATCCAAGTCTCTATGCTATATTTTGCTGAGTTTTCATTTTGAAAAACACCCCCTGGTATTTCTGGCAGTGGCCATCTTGAGTAAGGGCAAATAATGTAGCATATACTTCCCGGAATCTATCTGCCCTTAGCTCTGGCATTGACGGAGCTGAGAACCCTCCCTGCCTGACCCTCCTGAAAGCTTCTGGGGTGTGACATAATTTGCCTAGGCATAGAAACCAGGCAGAAAAAAAAAAAAAAAAAAAAAAAAAAAAAAAAAAAGTATAAAACCAATAAATATGATATACTTTCCTATCTATTTACTAATGCTAGCAGCATCATTGTTCATATTCAAAGCAAACTCACCCATCCATCCAGGTCTTCATGCTTTATTTTGCTGAGTATTCATTTTGAAAAACACCCCCTGGTATTTCTGGCAGTGGCCATCTTGAGTAAGGGCAATTAATTAATGTAGCATTTATTTCCTGGAATCCATCTGCACTTAGCTCTGGCATTGACAGAGCTGAGAACCCTCCGTCCCCTCCCAAAGGCTTCTGGGATGTCACCTTCTGCCTAGGCATGGAAACCAGGAAGTAAAAAAAACTATTTTTTTTTATATATCTAATAAATATATATATATATTTATTTTTTTACTTCCTGAGAGATATATATATATATATATATATATATATATATATATATATATATATATATATTTTTTTTTTTTTTTTCTACTTCCTGATAGAGATATATATATATATATATATATATATATATATATATATATATATATAGATACACACACGCACACATGTGTGTGTGTATATATATATATACATATATATATATATATATATATATATAATATATATATATATATCTCTATCAGGAAGTAGAAAAAATATATATATATATGTGTGTATATATATATATTATATATATATATATATATATATATATATATATATATATCACACATATATATATATATACACACATATATATATATATATCTCACCAGTAAATATGATATACTTTCCTATCTATTTACTAACGCTAGCAGCATACAGATTACAACTAGTCAACGTTGATTGGGAGAGCGAAGTTCCACTTTAAGGGGACGAACTTATTTTTTTTTTCTCCCCTTACTGGCAAATGGAATGGTGATGAGGTCGGTGCATTTCCTGCACATGATGGAACCACAAAGTCGGCAGTGATGGCGTCTGTTGCGCATGGTAAACTTGTTGCCACAATCCGGACAGAAGGGCACATCCTGGTCATTCACCCACGGCACCACAGAACGCTCTATGGCTGGGGAGGCAGGAAAGGCACAAGTTAGTTTCCAGCTTTGGCTGCAGCCATTGGAAACAATATGGAGACCGGCCTACCTCTTATCTTGGCAGTGTCTGTGGTCACACGGTCAAACGAAGTGAGCTACAGATCGAAGAAAAAAAACAAGAAATTCTCAGTTCTATAAGTCCCATAATAACAATCGCGGGCAAATCACAAGAGCAGAGTAGTCACTGCGCCAAACTTTGTTGAGATCTGGAATAAACATGTGTAACCCGACTTCTTAACCCCTCGCCTACCGGGCACTTCTACCCCCTTCCTGCCTACTACAGGGCCCTTCTACCCCCTTCCAGCCTACAGGGCCCTTCTACCCCCTTCCTGCCTACCGGGCACTTCTACCCCCTTCCTGCCTACAGGGCACTTCTACCCCCTTCCTGCCTACCGGGCACTTCTACCCCCTTCCTGCCTACCGGGCACTTCTAACCCCCTTCCTGCCTACCGGGCACTTCTACCCCCTTCCTGCCTACAGGCACTTCTACCCCCTTCCTGCCTACCGGGCACTTCTACCCCCTTCCTGCCTACAGGGCACTTCTACCCCCTTCCTACCCCCTTCCTGCCTACAGGGCACTTCTACCCCCTTCCTGCCTACCGGGCACTTCTACCCCCTTCCTGCCTACCGGGCACTTCTACCCCCTTCCTGCCTACAGGGCACTTCTACCCCCTTCCTGCCTACCGGGGCACTTCTACCCCCTTCCTGCCTACCGGGCACTTCTACCCCCTTCCTGCCTACCGGGCACTTCTACCCCCTTCCTGCCTACAGGGCACTTCTACCCCCTTCCTGCCTACCGGGCACTTCTACCCCCTTCCTGCCCGCAGGGCACTTCTACCCCCTTCCTGCCTACCGGGCACTTCTACCCCCTTCCTTACCACTGCTACCCCCTTCCTGGGCACTTCTACCCCCTTCCTGCCCCTGGGCACTTCTACCCCCTTCCTGTTCAGGTCAATTTCCAGCATTCAGCGCTGTCACACTTTGAATGACAATTGCGCAGTCATGCAATACTGTACCCATATGAAATGTTTATCATTTTTTGAGACAGATAGAGCTTTTTTGGTGGTATTTAATCACCTCTGGGGTTATTTTTTTTGCTTAACAAACCAAAAACAACTGAAAATTTTGAAAAAAAAAGGTTTTTTTTTTCTTAGTTATTGTTATAAAATTTTGTAAATAAGTGATTTTTCTCCTTCACTGATGTGCGCTATAGAGGCTGCAGTGATGGGCACTGATGAGGAGGCACTGGTAGGTGGCATTGAAAGGCATCACTGATGGGCACTGAAAGGCAGCACCTATATATGGCACTGATGATAGGTGGCACTGAAAGGCAGCTCAGATGGGCACTATGTGGCATTGATGTGCAGTGGTAGGCACTGATATGTGGCACTGATGGGCACTGATATGTGGCATTGATGTGCACTGGTAGGTACTGATATGTGGCACTGATAGGTGGCATTGATGAGCACTGATATGTGGCATTGATGTGCAGTGGTAGGCACTGATATGTGGCATTGATGTGCACTGGTAGGTACTGATATGTGGCACTGATAGGTGGCATTGATGAGCACTGACAGGTGGCACTGATGGGGCTACATTGATCATCAGGGCACACTGATCATCAGTGTAGATGTCCCCTCTGAGGAATCCCAATTACCGGCTCTCCCCTCCTCTCCTCTGTCAGCGTGACAACTCGTGAGGAGAGAAATGACGATAACTGGCATTTCCCTATTTACATGCGACCAGCTGTGATTGGACACAGCTGATCACATGACCGAGCCGACACCTTCAGCTCTTTCCGTTGATCGTTGATCCGCTGTGTCCGAAGGACACAGCACACAACAGTTCGCCACGCTGCACGCCCCCCTGGAGCCACGCACGCGCAGTTAGAGTGGGAGGATGTCATATGACATCTTCCCAGAACGAGTGAACCGCCTTGTGCCCCTCATTACCTTATATGGCGGGTGGGAGGCGGCTAAAGTGGTTCTTAAGGCTGAAGGTTTTTTTTCCTACCTTCAAACATTCTATGCATGAAGGTAAAAAAAAAAAAAAAAAAAAAAAAAAAAGAAGAACCTTCTGTGCACAACTCCCCTCCCCCAAAATATTTACCTGATCTTGATTCAGCAATGAGCACGAGAGAAGTGGCTTTTTCCCAGATTTCTGCCTTCTCATTGGCTCAGATACAGCAGCAGGAGCCATCGGCCTGTTCTGATGTCAATTACAGCCAGTGAGGAGGGAGCACTGCTGAGCCGCACTTGGTTTGTCTTGTGGACACACAGAGTGGGGTTCGGGAGCGAGCGAGCGTGCATGAGTGCCCCCATGGCAAGCAGCTTGCTATGGGAGAACACAGCAGGGGGGAGCCAGAAGTGCCAGCGGGAGACCCCAGTAGAGGAGGATTGGGCCTGCTCTGTGCAAAACCATTACACAGAGCAGGTAAGTATGACATGTTTGTTATTTAAAAAACTGTATAAAAAAAACAAACAAAACAAAAAAAAAAAAAAAAAAGAAAAAAAAATCTACCTTTAGTGTTACTTTAACCCCTCGCCCTCCTGAGGATTTCCCCCCCCCTTCCGGACCAGGCCATTTTTTGCGATACAGCGCCGCGTTACTTTAACTGACAATTGTGCGGTCATGCAACGCTGCACCCAAATTAAATTTACGTCCTTTTTCCCCCACAAATAGAGCTTTCTTTCTGTGGTATTTGATCGCCTCTGCGTTTTTTATTTTTTGCGCTATAAACAAAAAAAGATCAACAAATCTGAAAAACAAAACTTTTGACTTTTTGCTATAAAACATATCCAGAAAAAAAAAAAAAAAAAAAAAAAAAAAAAATCAAATTCCGTCATAAATTTAGGCCAAAATGTATCCTGCTCCATATCTTTGCTAAAAAAAAAAAAACCCAAAACGTGTAAATGAATTGATTTACTTAAAATGTATAGCATCTACAAAATGGCGGTATATACACTGAAATTTTTATTATTTTCTTTCATACTAGTAATGGTCGGCGATCAGCGACTTACAGAGGGACAGCGGCAGGCATTCTAGTACTGGGGGGGAACTGTCACTGACGTCCCCAGTGACACCAATACAGTGATCAGTGATAATAAAAAGCACTGACACTGTACTAATGGCACTGGGCAGGAAAAAGGGTTAACATCTGGGGCGATCAAAGGGTTAACTGTGTGCTGTGGTTTACTATGTATAAACGAAGCTTTGCACAGCTCTGGCAGGATCAACAAGTATTTTTCTGTATTTCAGCACTTGGTTAAACAGGCAAAACACGGGACGTGTGTATGTATTGGCTGCACTCAATGTGTGTTTTGTTGCCCAGACATACAATTTATTTTATCTGGGACGTGTGCAGCCCATCCTGTTGTCGAACACTCGAGAAGCCGAACTAAACCCCAGGCGGTGGTGCTCACCTTTTCTAAACGAATGACTAGTTTGTTGACTTCCACCACAGAGTGATCTATCCTGGCCGCCCGATGCCTCTTAAAGTCAGAGAGGTGCGTCCGCGTAAAACCTGCCGGAAAACAGAGAGAAACTCGACTATAAGTGATACCAGCAGAATACAGACGCATGGCTAAACACAGAACTCATACGTGTGTCACCTGTGTACTATGAGCAACAATTACATGGATGTTTGAATAGAGGGAGTGAAAGTGTCAGCGATCTGCCAGAGCAGAGAATGGAACAAACACTGGTTCACATTGGCACAGCAGGATGGCATTTAACTCTCCTCTCCTGAAATACTCTGCACTGCCGGAGGACTCCGCTCCTTCCTCTATAACTCCTCTCCTGAAATACTCTGCACTGCCGGAGGACTCCGCTCCTTCCTCTATAACTCCTCCTCTCCTGAAATACTCTGCACTGCCGGAGGACTCCGCTCCTTCCTCTATAACTCTCCTCTCCTGAAATACTCTGCACTGCTGGAGGACTCCGCTCCTTCCTCTATAACTCCCTCTCCTGAAATACTCTGCACTGCTGGAGGACTCCGCTCCTTCCTCTATAACTCTCCTCTCCTGAAATACTCTGCACTGCCGGAGGACTCCGCTCCTTCCTCTATAACTCTCCTCTCCTGAAATAACTCTCCTCTCCTGAAATACCTCTCCTGAAATACACTGCACGCTGGAGGACTCCGCTCCTTCCTCTATAACTCTCCTCTCCTGAAATACTCTGCACTGCTGGAGGACTCCGCTCCTTCCTCTATAACTCTCCTCTCCTGAAATACTCTGCACTGCTGGAGGACTCCGCTCCTTCCTCTATAACTCCTCCTCTCCTGAAATACTCTGCGCTGCTGGAGGACTCCGCTCCTTCCTCTATAACTCTCCTCTCCTGAAATACTCTGCTCTGCTGGAGGACTCCGCTCCTTCCTCTATAACTCTCCTCTCCTGAAATACTCTGCACTGCTGGAGGACTCCGCTCCTTCCTCTATAACTCTCCTCTCCTGAAATACTCTGCACTGCTGGAGGACTCCGCTCCTTCCTCTATAACTCTCCTCTCCTGAATATACTCTGCGCTGCTGGAGGACTCCGCTCCTTCCTCTATAACTCTCCTCTCCTGAAATACTCTGCACTGCTGGAGGACTCCGCTCCTTCCTCTATAACTCTCCTCTCCTGAAATACTCGGCACTGCTGGAGGACTCCGCTCCTTCCTCTATAACTCTCCTCTCCTGAAATACTCTGCATGCTGGAGGACGCTCCTTCCTCTATATCTCCTCGATCCTGAAATACTCTGCACTGCTGGAGTCGTTCCTTGCACAAACCTTGGGTGAAATACTCTGCTAAGTGGACAAATGGAAGCGTCTTCCTCTACTCACCTCTCCTGAAATACTCCTGCTGGGGACTCCCACATACGTGGATCCACGCCCCCATAACTGTACGCTTCGTAGCGGTCCTGGGATCCGCCTTCCTGCCTTCTCCCCGCCATCTTTCTTTAAGCAGCTTGTTCTTTGCCTTCTTGGCGATGTGAACCAGATCTAGGAACGTCAGGTGAAGGATGTGCAGCAGGAGATTACAAAGCGACCTTTATACACGGCTTCCTGAACACGTCCCGCCACCCTCACTAGTCCTTCTCTCCAGAGCCATCAGTCCCAGCAGTGGGCTGGCTTTTGGGAGGAGTTATGCAAATATCAAAATGCCTTGCTAAGTGGGTGTCAGTCTGGAGAAGTGGGCGTTCCTAGGCAGGCTGTATTTTGCATAGATAACACCCACATGTGATGCCAAACCTCCATAATTGAGAGAGCTGAAATCCAATGAAAGGGGCGGGGCCAGGGACAGACGGGCTGGGGAGGAAAGGGCTAATAAACCTGGATGTCCTCCAGCCAGGAAATGAGGTGGAGCTCTATCTGATTTGCTGCAGCTTCTACCTGTGTCAGTCCACTGAAGGCGTTCCTAGGAGGAGCCGGTACACCCGTGCAAGACTGGAGGGGAGGAGCCGGTACACCCGTGCAAGCCTGGAGGGGAGGAGCTACAAAACCTGTGAAGCCTGGAGGGTGAGGAGCCGGTACACCCGTGCAAGCTGGAGGGGAGGAGCCGGTACACCCGTGCAAGACTGGAGGGGAGGAGCCGGTACACCCCGTGCAAGCCTGGAGGGGAGGAGCCGGTACACCCGTGCAAGCCTGGAGGGGAGGAGCCGGTACACCCGTGCAAGCTGGAGGGGAGGAGCCGGTAAGCCTGAAGGGGAGGAGCCGGTACCCCTGTGCAAGCCTGGAGGGGAGGAGCCGGTACCCCCGTGCAAGCCTGAAGGGGAGGAGCCGGTACCCCTGTGCAAGCCTGAAGGGGAGGAGCCGGTACCCCTGTGCAAGCCTGAAGGGGAGGAGCCGGTACCCCTGTGCAAGCCTGAAGGGGAGGAGCCGGTACCCCTGTGCAAGCCTGAAGGGGAGGAGCCGGTACCCCTGTGCAAGCCTGAAGGGGAGGAGCCGGTACCCCTGTGCAAGCCTGAAGGGGAGGAGCCGGTACCCCTGTGCAAGCCTGAAGGGGAGGAGCCGGTACCCCTGTGCAAGCCTGAAGGGGAGGAGCCGGTACCCCTGTGCAAGCCTGAAGGGGAGGAGCCGGTACCCCTGTGCAAGCCTGAAGGGGAGGAGCCGGTACACCTGTGCAAGACTGAGGGGGAGGAGCCAGTACACCTGTGCAAGCCTGAAGGGGAGGAGCCGGTACACCTGTGCAAGACTGAAGGGGAGGGAGGATATAAGCTGGGAGGTGGCTTATCCTGTAATTGTTCAGCAACAATGCTAACTGCACTGTCTAACATACAGACAAGCCCGGAGAAACAGAAAAAAAAATACAAAGTTAGTGGCGGGATCATCTCACCACATTTCACCTGCAACCGAAATGTTATCTTTGGGTGGAGTCATCCTTTAAGCACAGTACTCACTTTTCAGCTGCCCTTTGACGTCTCTGTCCTCGCTGGAGTGTTCCTCTTCATAGTGGGACTGCAGCTGGTAGAAAGACTGGAGATCCTTCAGGCACAAGGGGCAGAGGAAGCCCTCTCTCACCTCCCCCTGTTCATCGAATGGGGCGTTGTACTGCGAGGCCATGACTGACGCTGGGGCGGGTTGGGATCACTCGGAGGGACATCTGGACCCCGGTGCACCTTACAGGGCTGAGGGTGGAGCTGAGGACAGACAGACGGACACTTCCATTAGAACCTGAAATTCCATAGAAAACATTGTAATATCACTTTGCATTGCTGCCTGAAGATCAGGACCGAGCCGGGAAGGGCGGCCATGGGGGCCGAGGCGGGAAGGGCGGCCATGGGGGCCGAGGCGGGAAGGGCGGCCATGGGGGCCGAGGCGGGAAGGGCGGCCATGGGGGCCGAGGCGGGAAGGGGCGGCCATGGGGGCCGAGGGGAAGGGCGGCCATGGGGGCCGAGCCGGGAAGGGCAACCATGGGGGCCGAGGCGGGAAGGGCGGCCTCGGGGGCCGAGGCGGGAAGGGGCGGCCTCGGGGGCCGAGGCGGGAAGGGCGGCCATGGGGGCCGAGCCGGGAAGGGCGGCCTCGGGGGCCGAGCGGGGAAGGGCAGAGATGGGGACTGAGGCCTCCTCCCTCATAAGGACAACAATTCCAGAAATTCAAGCTGGACTTCCATACGGACAATGAGCCTTAGTCCCCAGCGCTGTCATATACCCTGCAAGGGACACAACAGCCTGCACACCCCAATCACAACCCCACAGCCAATCAGCACCAGACACAAATGGTTGTTTTCGGGGTGTCCTCACTCTCCAGGTACAACAATCAACGCGACTTCATAGAACCACAAACATCTACACAACACCCAGCAGTGTCCTCCAAGTACAGGCCTCAACCCCAAAAATCATTCCTAATAGAGCCCGCCCCCCTCCTTGCACAGCATCTCCTGACTCCTCCCCCATCTTCAGCTTCACCAGTCTACCACCGGGTACTGTGTCCTCAGCGCCCCCTCCATGCTGCCCCATCCTCAGTGCCCACTTCATGCTTCATGCTGCCCCATCCTCCCCCTCCAGTGCCCCATCCTCAGTGCCCATACTGCCCCATCCGCCCCCTCCAGTGCCCCACCTCAGTGCCCCCTCCATGTTGCCCCATCCCAGTGGCCCCCTCCAGTGCCCCATCCACAGGGCCCCCTCCATGTTGCCCCATCCTCAGTACCCCCCATCCATGCTGCCCCATCCCCCTCAGTGTTGCCCCATCCATGCCCCCTTACCCCATCCTCAGTGCCTCCTCCATGTTGCCCCATCCAGGGCCCCCTCAGTTGCCTCCTCAGGGCCCCCTCCATGTTTCCCAGGGCCCCCTCCATGTTGCCCCATCCTCAGTGCCCCATCCTCCATGTTGCCTTATCTTCAGTGCCCCCTCTATATTGCCCCATCCTCAGTGCACCCTCCATCCTGCTCCACCCTCAGTGCTCCTCCATGTTGCCCCATCCTCAGGGCCCCCCTGCCCCCCTCACCCCCTCCATGTGCTGTCCCCCTCTGTGCTACCCCATTCTCAGTGCCCCCTCCATGTTGCCCCATCCTCAGTGCCCCCTCCATGTTGCCTTATCCCCCTCAGTGCCCCCTCCATGTTGCCCCATCCTCAGTGCACCATTCATGTTGCTCCTTCTCCTTGCTATCACCCCTCCCCCCTCCTCTGTGCCCTCCATAACTCCCATAATTACCACCCCCCCCCCCCCCCCCCCCCAGAGTTCTCAGACTCCCCTCCCCCACACTCTGGGCCCCTCTTCCTGTGTTCCCCCCTCACCCCCCACCACCTTCCTCGGTGCTCCCATGGATGACAGCACATTGTCGGATCTCCGTCATACCCCGCTCCCCGGCGTCCCTCCCGCCTCCGCCACCGGACGCCATGGCTGTCACTCCCGAATCCACAGATCTGCGATGCCGGCCGCCTGACCCAGGCTGAGAGCTGAGCGCCGAGCAATCGATTGACAGCTCTGGGGAGAGGAGAGGGGAGGGGCCTACGGGGAGATAACAGTGGACGGATGGAGGCGAGAGGAAGAGAGGGGCGGGGACAGAGGAGGAAAGGGGCGGGGATGGAGAAGTGGGACATGGAGGTAATGGAAGAGAGGCGGGGCGGAGGAGGAAAGGGGCGGGGATAGAGATGTGGGACAGGAATATAATAGAAGAGAGGCGGGGTGGAGGAGGAAAGGGGCGGGGATGGAGGACAAGTGGGACAGAGAGATAATAGAAGAGAGGCGGGGCGGAGGAGGAAAGGGGCGGGGATGGAGGAGCAGTGGGACAGGGAGATAATAGAAGAGAGGCGGGACGGAGGAGGAAAGGGGCGGGGATGGAGGAGCAGTGAGTCAGGGAGATAATAGAAGAGAGGCGGGGCGGAGGAGGAAAGGGGCGGGGATGGAGGAGCAGTGGGACAGGGAGATAATAGAAGAGAGGCGGGGCGAAGGAGGAAAGGGGCGGGGATGGAGGAGCAGTGGGACAGGGAGATAATAGAAGAGAGGCGGGGCGGAGGAGGAAGTGGGCGTTCCCAGAGCTTCCGAAGAACTGGATTACAGGATAATATACAACATCATACACCATATAATAATAATACTGCTGCTGGTCACAGTAATAATAGTAGTAATAATAAAAAATTGTTATTATTATTCAACCCCTCGCCCTCCAGAGGATTCCCCCCCCTTCCTCACCAGGCAATTACGGCGCTGCATCACTTTGACGACAATTGTGCGGTCATGCAACGCTGCACTCAAATGAAATTTACGTCTGTTTTTCCCCACAAATTTAGCTTTCTTTCAGTAGTATTTGATCGCCTGTGCGGTTTTTATTTTTTGCGCTATAAGCAAAAAAAGACCAAAAATTTTGAGAAAAACAATAATTAGAACTTTTTGCTAAAAAGTAAAAAAAAATTTAAAAGTGAAATTTCGTCATAAATTTAGGGCAAAATGTATTCTGCTCCGTGCGTTTGCTAAAAAAAAAAATCGCAATATGTGTAAATTAATTGGTTTACGTGAAAGTTATAGCTTTTACAAATGGCGGTATAGATACTGGACCTTTTTTTATTCTACTAGTATCAGCGCCTTTTAGCGGGACTGCGGCGGACATTCTGACACTGGGGGAGGGAACTAGCTTGGTGTCACTGACATCCCCAGTGACACCAATACAGTGAAAAAAAAAAAGCACTGACACTGTGCTTATGGCACTAGGCAAGAAAGGGTTAATGTGAGGGGCGATCAAAGGGTTAACTGTGCGCTGAGAGTGTTTTACTGGTTGGGGGGGGGGGGGGTGTTCTTCACTGTAAGCACCCTGCTCTGGATGGCTGTACTGTGCAGTGAGCTGACAGGGAGGATGATTATTTGTAAAGAAAACAATCTTGCTCCCCATCAGAAATGCTCGGTGCTGGCGGGTAATTACCAGCCGGGACCCAGTGATTGACATCCGCGGGCACGAATGGAGGCGCAGGTAGGGCACGTGTGCGACTCCCGCGTGCCCCCTACTCGGAAATGCGA